TTTGTATGCAGATTGCATGTTATATATTTTTATGTGCAGATTGTCCCCCAACTGCAGATAAATCTCAACTTGCATGTAAAAAAATAAGGCTTTCTATTCTGTCCTGGGAGCCACCAATTTGACATTTTTGAACTTCCTCTCTCCTACATGCCACTGCCTTGGGTCTCATGAGTATATTTCTAACAAAGCCTTCTTGGGAACAGAGGTTTCACAAATATTAAGAAAATTACAGAAGCTGTCACTGACCAGGAGAGGGAGCCAGAAAATCATTTCTCTTCTTGCCTTCCTGTGAGCTAGTGTGCAAAAGCAGCCTGAATTTTGGCAGTTGAATGCACATCTTTCAATGTCTACATTAGGCTTGGGGGCTAGTTATAGAGAGAGCCAACTGGGGAATTCGGGGAACTGAAATCTGGATGTTGAGGCTATCTGCAGGGTTTCAGGCCTGCAGCCGGCTCCTTTTGGGATCTTTGGCCTGCTACACTAATATTCTATTCTACTATGCTGTTTCATTAGTGGGGAATTTGGAGGGGGAATAGTAAGGAGTAGAATATGATGTTGCCCAAATAAAATTCCTTTCTAGAATCCAAGGTCATCCTTTGTTTCTGCACCTCTGCACCTGACCGGAACTGGATGGGTGAAACTGCCAGCATGGCAGTGGAAGATTGGACCATGTGATGGCCTTGTGGGTGTGGGGGCAAAATCTTGAATTCTCAACTGGGTGGGGAAAACCAGGAAGCTCAGATTCAGGTTTTCACAGATGTGCCAACATGACTCTCTTAATAAACTGGAACTTGAACAATACTTTGCCTTAATTTTGGATGTTCTTTGGAACCCTGATGTTGTAATATAGTTCCTTGTGTAGGTGTAGCGGTCACCCATGGCCCAGTGGATAACGGGGCATGCAGAGCCACGCTGAACCACACAGGAGAAAGCAAACTCCTAAAACTCCATAACATCCTGATAGTTCATAACATAACATCCTGAGATGTGCCCTACCAATGACGTCCAGGATTTGACCATATATAGACAGAACTTCCCTGAGCAGTAGATTAGAAATTGTACTGTTTTTAATCACATGCTA